TGGAGTCCTACTGAACCAAGACCCCAGCCAGCTAAAAGCTATTTCCTTTCTGTATAAGGTATTTTCCATACAAGCTATTTGCATAGCCAGAGAAGCTGTTTCTGTCATTGACAAAGGGGGTGGGAGGGACTGCAGTGCTGCCTGCAAAAATAATTAGTTTAATGTTAGGGCTGGTCAAACATTTTCCATCAGAACTGTTTTTTCAAGAGAAAACTGGGTTGTCAAGTAAATGAAATTTTTGGTGAGAAGTGTCTGTGTTGGGCTTTTTGCCTAAATATTTAGAATTTCGACATTGTAGTGCCTCATGGGTGTCGTAGTTTGCTCCTTGTGTCCCCCATTCTTCTTTACTGGCCAGGATCCATAGCTGGACTACAACTTCCAGGGACTCCAGCACTCACCAAATGGGGAGATTGTGAGCTTGTCTACACTTACAGCGCCGCTGTAGCGCTTAGTATGTAGTGTCTTCACGTGTGTAGTTAATCCACCTCCCCAAGAGGCGGTAACTATGTCAACAGGAGAAGTTCTCCTGTCAACATAGTGCTGTCTACACCGGGAGTTAGGTTGGTATAACTGTCGCTCGGGGTGTAGAAAATCCAAGCAACGTAGTTATAGTGACAGAAGTTGGGAATGTAGACCAAGCCTACAGTCTAACTGGGGATCCTGGCCATAGAGGAGACTAGGACATGAGGAGCAAACAACTCCCATGAAGCGCTACAACTCTCATTTTTGGCCAAAATGTTTTGTTTGTGATCAATTGAATTTTTCTGTGGAAAATTTACATGTTTTCATATTTGTTGAAAATTTCTAAGGGGAGGCGTGGGGGAGCACATTTTCAAACCAGCTCTAGATAATAGGTATGGGGGAGGGGAGAAGTTCTAGAAAGAAAGGAGTTCCTCTTTATTTGGCAGATTACTGGTTCAAGACTGGCTCAGGACCCTAGTAGTAAGGCGTCTAGGCATTAGTATCATCGGGTAACTTGTGGCAATCAATGTAAAATCAATTCCTGTGGTCATCCAGTTTCCAGTGAGCAAGGTCCACATCCTGAAATCCACTGGACTTGGCTATATTGGTATCCTCTGGGCATTCTCGGCAGAAAGGCCACAGATCAAATGGACATGGAAAACACCCTGAGAGATGGCCCCTCCAGAGCAACATTGGTGCTGCAGTGTGAAGTCTGCACTGCTGTTGCCCATGAATTAAGAATGATAGTTTGTAAAGCTTCCTAACTGAAGACTTGCACCAACACAACTCAAATGCTGTAAAAGAGATCTACGATATGTTCTTGTTGTAGGTTTGCCACTGGAGTGTGTCTAATGAATTTCAGATTGGTACTGACAGCAAATGGGAAACATTCCACCATCTACGTTCTATCACACTGAATTAGAGTTGGTAACGTATACGCTGCTATTTCATGAAAGTACAGTATAGAGAGGAGGAGGAGAGAGAGGTATGAGAAACCCCAACTACAACTCCCGTGAGACAGAGTGGCAGCGTTTGGCAACTGACGTTTTGGCAAAACTCTTGGGTTTCAATTTTTGCCAAAAAGCCAGAATTTTCCATGATAACTTTTTTTTAACAAATTTTTTTTAAAATTGTCCAGTTAAAAAAAAAAAAAAAAAAATTTGACTTGCTCTAGAGCTGGGGTCGGCAACCTTTCAGAAGTGGTGTGCCGAGTCTTCATTTATTCACTCTAATTTAAGGTTTTGCGTGCCAGTAATACATTTTAACGTTTTTAGAAGGTCTTTCTATAAGTCTATAATATATAACTAAACTATTGTTGTATGTAAAGTAAATAAGGTTTTTAAAATGTTTAAGAAGCTTCATTTAAAATTAAATTAAAATGCAGAGCCCCCCGGACTGGTGGCCAGGACCCGGGCAGTGTGAGTGCCACTGAAAATCGGCTTGCGTGCCGCCTTTGGCACGCGTGCCATTGGTTGCCTACCCCTGCTCTAGAGCTAACAGGGCACTGAGGCCCACAACTCTTTCATATCCTAACTTGTGTGTTTACATTTGCAACTTTTTTGCATCTAAAGGCCTTAAAAGTGATTTTAAGTTAGAGGCGTGACTTTTCTGATGGAGATCAGGCTCTGAGTGTGAAAGGGGAGGGGGGAGAGAGAAGGAAGGGCATGTGGGACACTGGTGATATTATTCACTTTTCAACTTAAACACTTATTAAAGATCAGAAGTCTGTTTTCACATTAGAGACATTGTGAGACTTTCTGATGATGTGAGTTTCTATGCAGTTATCATCCACATACTTTATTACAGAACTTCAATACTATGACAATAACAAGGTCCATCACAATAAAAATTTCAAAAAGTTTACAAAACTACCATTACAAATCTGAAACACTGTTACAAAGGAGGCAGGACAAGCTGAGAAATAGAGGTTGACATTTGTGCCTGCTACAGTACTATTGTTATGCTGACACATCCATGCTGACGCTTCCAGAATCTGGAGTACACCTATTTGCATAATGGAGAATGGTAGAAGTGGAATGGGAGCAACTTCTGTGGGGAAAATAAACCCCAGGTCTTTTAAAGAAGAAAAATAAGCCCTTGGCGTTTACATCAGCAAACCCACAGAGCAGTAATGGAGTATCAGCAAGCAGTTGAGAAGGGGCGGTAACTATCATATTCTGTAACAATAATTACACATAAACGTAATGTTTTCAGTGACTCCATTATTGTAAATATATTATTCAAGACTATTCTCATGACTATATTGGGTTGCTTAAGCATATGTTTATATTTACTACAGAAGCGATTGGAGAAATGCAGGAGTTATTTCAGTTAAGAAAAGTTCACCTCTAACTTATGGCCCTTTCACAAAGAATGGGACATATGTACCTCTGCTTCAACACAGTGGGCCAAATTCATCCCTGGTGTAATTCCACAGGCCTCAATCCAATTACCCCCAAGGATGGATTTTACCTGGAATCTTCACATTCAACCTTTGACATGTGAAAAGTCTGATCTGCACTTCTGCTGCTCGCAGCAAAATAGCTGAGCTGACGCATTCTGAATGTCTGGGTGCATTACTGGGTACTGCCGTGCAAATATTTCCACCAGGTTGATGCAATCGTACAGCAGCTCCCCAGTTCGCCTGAAGGGCTTTGAAACAAAGCTAGGCAGGCAAGGCTAAGACTGATATTTTGGGGCCAGAGGGGAAGATTCACCCACTAAAATGCAGAGATTAAAAGAGTTTGAAGCTGTTAAACAATACAAAATTAAGGCTACTGTGAGGTGTTCTTGGTCCATGTTTTGTAAAACAGATCAGCAAATTTGCTCATTGAATTCCTGGAGCAGCTCAAATGTTTTTCTTTTTCTTTTCTTTTTTTTCAAGCAGGCAGCCACCACAGCACGCACATGTAATAGTACTTTAAAGGCAGCTGGTTTGATGGGTTATTCAAAAACTTCAAAACCTCTAGGCTAGGTGAGATTTCTTTTCCTCACTGGTCACAAAATGTGTTGTTTAAACTTTAAATCTGGAATGGACACCATCGTACTTGGTGTAAAGTCAGAGGCTTTGGGAGTTATTCCATTCCTTAATCAAAAGCCACTAAGTTCCACACAACTCGATGCCAGGGGCTGGATTGTCATTCAGCCAGATGCAGCCATACCGGGGAGTCAGACCTTCCTACCCCCATGGTGTGTCTGCATTAATGCTCCACATATTGCAGGCAGCTCCTGCTGTACGTGAGGAGGAGAAGATTGTGGCCAGTATTCCCCCCGCAAAGCAGGCAAGTGGAACTTTGGCTCCAATTCTCTTCCCCCATCTGACAACATACTGACCAGCTGAGCCAATGTGAGGGTGGGGAAGCAAGCTGAACTGTTTTCACAGCTGCAGTACGGAGCTCCTGTCCCCACTCCCCATAGGCGCAAGGGAAGGAGTTGTGAGTCTGGGACTCCTTAGGTGCAAAGCTCGATTCAGCATGTGCTAGGGAGCCACTATTAGCGCTTTCCTAATACTCTGGACTCAGAAAATTTGGTCGCTGTAGTGAACAACCCTCTTGCCTTGCCTAAGTTATTAGTTTGAATAGATGACCCTACAATTATGTGCTTTCGCTACTTGTTTTGCACCCACATTTAAAACAGAGCTCAGGATGCTTCAGATGTGCCAGAACTCTTCAGTTGCTTTGAATATTGGAATAGGCAGGGCCGGCTCTGGCTTTTTTGCCGCCCTAGGCAAAAAAGCCACCCGCCGCCCCTCCTCCCGCCCCCCCCAGCGCAGCAGGGGAGGGCGCCGAGCCCGGCCGCGGGCCCGCAATCCCCAACCGGCCGGAGCGCCGGGGGGAGGGTGGCGAGCCCGCCGTGGCTCCACTCTCCCCGGCGGCCAGAGCGCCGGGGGGAGGGTGGCGAGCCCAGCTGGGGCTCTCCGCTCTCCCCGGCAGCCAGAGTGCCGGGGGGAGGGCGGCGAGCCCGGCCGGGGCCCCGCTCTCCCCGACCGGCCGGAGCGCCGGGGGGAGGCCGGCGAGCCCGGCCGGGGCCGCTCTCCCCGGCGGCCGGAACGCCGCGGGGAGGGCGGCGAGCCCAGTCGCGGCCCAGCTCTCCGGCTGGAGCGCCCCGCCGCGCCGCCCCCCTCCAGGCGCCGCCCCAAGCACATGCTTGGTGGGCTGGTGCCTGGAGCCGGCCCTGGGAATAGGGCACTTGTGAATTTTGTCCCCCGCCAATTAAAGTTCCCAATCTGGCAGTGAGCGCCATGAGGGCAGAGCTCCTGGCAGCATTAGGGCCGAAACCACTCCAAGTAACCAAACCCACACAGGGTTCAGGCACTAGAGCGAAGGGGTGCTTTTGCTTTTTGAAATGAAATATGGCACCGTATCTGGATTCATTACGTACTTTAGTCTGAAAACTCAGTTCAGCCCAGTCCTTCTTCCAAACCACTAACACGTTCCATTTGCTAAACATGCTAAATGGGTCCTCAAGGGCAAAAAAAGGCCCTTTCCTGCAGCTCATCCTCTTGAAACCTGTACTGTACAAGTCAGAGGAGGACAGTCACTTCAGTGAAAGGCATATATTCAGTGCTGCAACAGCACAACTCCTCTTGGGAGGAAGAGGGCAACTTTCTAGTCTGTTTACAGCCATTTACACAGTAACCCTAACCGCTGCTATTTGAAACATGAGGCGTGGAAATCACCTCTTTCTCGCATGTCCAAACTACAATACTGTTGTGCAAGGGAGCGTGTCTGTGCATTGTGATCTTACAAGGAGGGAAGCAGTATACAATGGGGTAGAGTTAAGAAGATGGTGGCATAGTCTGGAGTAGTTCCACAATTTTGCTGCTGTGGGGGGTTGTTGTGAAGGCCGTGACCAGAAATGAGGCCAATGCGAGTGAGCCAAGGGGGAAAATTACAAAACACAGAATAAATAGAAAGAATAAAAAGCAGTATATCATAAAAGCAAGACATTTCAAACGATCCTGCTCAGTGTACAGAACATTTAAGGGACAATGGGACTGACCAGTTGCAAGGGAAATTCTAAATGATGTGCCTATGTTCAATCCATAATTTAATTTGGAAGAGGCACAAAACCTTAAAAAAAACCCTCCAATATATATGATGGGAGTGAGGAAAGAATCTCAAAGAACCCTTTTTCAAAGAAACATTTCTGAATCGATAGTCTGAGGTTTGTATTTTTTCTTTTTTTAAAAAAAAATTAACAAATCTAAATAGTCTAGATTTTTGCCAGAAAACAAAACATTCTAATTTTGCAAGCTGTGGTGAAGTCCAGTTCTGTATAATCGGCTGCATACAGAACAGATTTCCGGTAAAAGAGACTGACTGACTGTTACACTATGAGATCCTGGAGCTCTTGGTCAGTCAGCTCATTCACCTCCATGATCTTTTCCAAGTGTTCCATGTATCTGACATGGTCCTGCAAGAAGTGTGGTACTCTCATGTTCTTGATCACCGCAAATTCCTTCAAGCGATCCACTTCCTCGTAAGAGACCTAGAGGAGAGGACAGGGGGATAAGTCAAAGCTGTACCCATTTTGCAAATTGACATGTCTAAAACACACAATTTCATTCCCCTCTCATAGGTGACAAAAGGATTCCAGGGCACAGGTGTTTTAAAGCATCTTGTCAGAATCCTTCTCTCGAGGTGATAGTAGAGTCTGATTTTATGCAAGGTCCAGTAAGGTGTGCATTAGAATATGATCCCGGGGAATTACTACATCCTGTCAAAGGAGGCCTGGTTCTGCTTCCACTGAAGTCAATGAACAGACTCTCAGGGCATGTCTACACTACAAAATTAAGTTGACTTAAGTTAGGTCAATGTACAGCCACTACAGTAATTAAATCGACCACTGGTGTCCACATTATGCTTCTTCTGTCGGCAGTGCGAGTCCTCATCAGGAACGCTTGCACCAACTTAAGTGGGGCATTTGGGGGCACTGACAGCCGGAGCCCCGCCGCCCCAGGGCTGACAGCTGTCAAAGGCAGCAGCAGACCATGTAAGTAATGCAGTGTCTACACGGACACTGCGTCAACTTAACTAGATCGACCTAAGTGCTACGCCTCTAGCAGAGATGGAGTTGTTAGGTCGGTGTAGCGGGCGAGTTAAATCAGCAGGAGGAACATGGTAGTGTAGACGCTTACACAGTCTACTTACTCTGTAGTGTAGACCAGGTCTTAGTGACGTCAATGGGAGCAGGATTGGTGGCTGTTAAGGATGAATGAACTAGTCCGGAAAAACTGATTTCCTTCCCATCCACAAGGATAGCCTTTCTTCTTCTTTTTTGACGTTCCTGTTGTACGTGCCAGCAGACATCCAGTTTCTTACACTGGGGCTGATTTCTCCTTGCAAACCTTATGTGCTCTGGAGCTTTCCTGACAGAGATGCATAGTGCAATCGGGGCAGGGGCACTCTGACACAGAAGCCACCATGTGAGCAAGATGTGAAAGACAGAATGAGCCTGCGGACATGAAGGATCAGGGCTGTTGCAGGCCTCTTAGGTGAGGGGGAAGGAATGGAAAATCTGGTCTTAGACATATTCACATGCAAGGGGAGCGGCAGGCCCGACGGGAGATGTGAGGAGGGAAGCAGGGGCTGTTGTGGCCAAGGTTTGGGAAACTAGAAAGGGAAATGAAAAGGCTCTGTGGATGTATGGAGACTGCAGCGATGGGAGGAGTCCTCGTATGGTTCATAGAAGTTTTGGGGAAGCAGTCAGACTGTGAGTGCTAACATGACCTAAGCTTCCAAAGCTTTAGTTTCACCCCCAATAATTCATTTGTGCTTGTGCGGAGCAAAATAAAAACATGTCATTCTAGTACGAGGGTTGCCACCTCTGAGGTACAAAAATCTGGGACATACAGGATGATTTGGGGCCCATAAAACTGGACAGCTGGCAGGGTGTACTTAGCTGTCCTAGGAAATCAGTATCTCCAAAAAGGAATGATACTGGGAAAACTTGCATAGGTGGCAACCCAATTAGTAAGTAACTTGTTACAAATGATGATTGCAGTATTGGCAATCTAAGCATTCCAAAACAATGAGTAAGGTCTCAACAATCGTGAGATTGTTACAAAAATAATAAATTATGGGTTTATTTTCTGAGCCTTCAGAGTGCAGGTGGATCATTTTCAAGCATTTCTCCACTACCATACAGACTATATAGTTACTTTTTTAATGACAGCTGAGATTCTCACATCCCACTCCAGGAGCTGGGGCTTTAAGAAAAATCCCAAGTATCTCAAGACTCATGATAAAATTGTGAGCGTTGGCAGCACTGTGATTGAATCGTGCAGGGAGGAAGAGTGGAGGGGTGCTGGCTCGGGTGTTAGCTACAAGAGCCATTGGGGCAATGTCCAGCATGATTGCCCCCGCATTGTTGTGCCACAGGCAGGCCTGAGGCATGGATGTTTCTACTAACTGGCACGCCACATTTCTCTGAGGCTTTTGTGCCAGATTCTCTTCCCTAGAAGTCTCTTAAGTACAAGGCTGTAATCCTGCTCTGCTCCTGCATGGGGATGGGGAATGCTCTCATGAGCACTTTTGCAAGATCTCACCCTACACAACTACCTGCTTCTCTTTGCTAATCGATAGGGCCCTACCAAATTCACGGTCCATTTTGGACAATTTCACAGTCATAGGATTTTAAAAATTGTAAATTTCATGATTTCAGCTATTTAAATCTGAAATGTCACGGTGTTGTAATTGTAGGGGTTCTGACCCAAAAAGGAATTGTGGGGTAGTTGCAAGGTTGTAGTGGGGAGGGGGGGAATTGCAGTACTGCTACCCTTGCTTTTGCGCTGCTGCTGGCAGTGGTGCTGCCTTCAGAGCTGGGCAACTAGAGAGCGGTGGCTGCTGGCCGGGAGCCCAGCTCTGAAGGCAGAACCACTGCCAGCAGCAGTGCAGAAGTAAGGATGGCATGGTATGGTATTGCACCCTTACTTCTGTGCTGCTGCCTGCAGAGCTGAGCCCTCAGTCAGCAGCTGCCACTCTCTGGCCGCCCAGCTCTGCAGGCAGCAGCGCAGAAGTAAGGGTGGCGTGGTATGGTATTACCACCGTTACTTCTGTGTTGCTGCTGACGGGCCGCTGCCTTCAGAGCTGGGCCCCGGCTAACAGCTGCCGCTCTCCAGCCACCCAGCTCTGAAGGCAGCGGAGAAATAAGGGTGGCAATACCGTGACCCCCTCCCTAAAATAATCTTGCAAGCCCTTTGCAACTCCCTTTTGGGTCAGGACCCTCAATTTGAGAAATGCTGGTCTCCCCCATGAAATCTGTATAGTATAGGTTAAAAGTACACAAAAGACCAGATTTCACAGGGGAAGACCAGATTCACGGTCTGTGACATATTTTTCATGGCTATAAATTTGGTAGGGCCCTACTCATCGAGTATGTGCAGTCACTAAGTTAAAAAAAAACCCTGTCTTTGTAAAATTAAAGCAACCTTAGAAATGAAAATGTTTCTGCAAGGGATTTCAGCTAGAGCTTCTTTGTTTCATTTTTAAATAAGGAACAAATAAAGTACGTATCATTTGTTTTTACAAAATGTGGCAGGGTGGCCAGAGAGCTTTGTAATATTGCATAGATTTCTCCCACCCCCACAATTCTCCCCTATGCTATTACAAGGGATGGAAAGAAATGTAGCTTTTCTAGGATACAGCTTTAATCACAGTGGAACAGGCTGGCAGTGATATAGCAGATTGGGAAAAGAGTTAAAGAAAGTTCTGCTAACTCCCTGAGGCAGGTGGCTTGTTAATCCATCTATACGTAAGGGGGTGGGGTGGGAAGAGGGTTTAGACTGAGCAGTCTGGAGGAAGACTAGGAGCAGCCAAGTCTGGGGAGCTGCTCTTACGTTATCTTGTTGTCGTTACTTAACAACTCCACACTCCAGGAAAGGGGTGAGATTGGACTTCATATAGTGTGCAGACTGTTTGTAGAGTAGGTTGGGAAAGGCACCTGTTTGTGCACAGATATGTCTTCTGAGCTACAGTGGAAAAATAAATCATGATAAAAAGAGAACAAGCACAGGCTAATCCAGGTCAAATCGGAGACTTACTGTTTAAGAGGACCACAAAAAGGGAAGAGCTACATTACAGCCTGACTAGTGTAAATATAGAAACATCTAAAAGCCAAACCCTAGCTCAAGTTAATTGGCTGTGTGCCGGGAAGCTATGTGGAAAGTGGCAGAGAATGGAATCTTTCCCCTCGCGCTGGGGACACGGCCCTGAGCACTGCTGTGTACAAGGTAGGATGGCTGAGGTTAGATGCCTACAAGATGTTACAAGTTGACTGGCCCCTTTTAAGAGGAAGTGGTGTCTAGTGCACATGTGGTTCATCAGCTACCTCCCACATGAGTTAAGTGAAGGCCTTGGGCCTGAGAGGGTCCAGTCAGGAATGAAGTAGGTGAGAGGTGCCCGCCAGCCTGAGGGTACAGCTATGCCGCAATAAAAAACCTGCAGTGCCAAGTCTCACAGCCTGGGTCAACTGGCTCAGGCTCACAGAGCTTGGGCTGTGGGGCTAAAAACTGCAGTGTAGACATTCAGGCTCAGACAGGAGCCTGGGTTCTGAGATCCATCCCCTTTGTGGGGTTTCAGAGCCTGGGATCCAGCCCAAGCCTGAACATCTACACTGCAATTTTTAGTCCCACAGCCTGAGCCCAGCAAGCCCAAGTCAGCTGAGCCAGCCCAGCCACGGCCAAGCTGCAGTTATTTTACTGCCGTGTAGACGAACCCTGAGAGAGACAGGAAATCAGTAGGTGAGAGCTGCCAGAGACCAGGAGATTGAGAGGTCCCTGAAGGAAGCTTTAGGTTGTTCCTGGGGGAAGGCTAAAGACAGGGGAGAAAGAAGGATTTGCTGGCTGGTCTTCCCAAGCCAGAGGGTTGAGGGCCAAGTGGGTATTAGGGATGTTCCCTATGTGAGGATGAACTCCTAGCAAAGAGGCTGTGGGGGATCCCACCTGGGAAGAGCAGGGTTGCACTTCAGCTGGAAGGGCTGCAATGGCTGTCCTAGTAAAAGGGCTGGAGATGATCCAGGAAGAGCCTGGGTGTGGTGAAGATGCTGGAGCGTGGTATGTGCTATGTCAGTGGACCCAAGGATGTGGGATTTTACAGACTACACACACTGGTTGTGAGAAATGGACCATGTTATGGATTTGAAACTATGTTTTGGCAATATCCTGCCCCCCAGGAGGGTATCAGTGAGTCAAGAAAGCTTGTGTGGAGTTACTGGGGACTCCGAAGGAGGGAGACTGAAGCAGGCACACCTGTCATGCAGTGGCCTCCCGCTGAAGAGCGCTCAAGGCAAGGCCACTCTATGAAACCGCCCTTTCAGCACCTTGCCTTCAAATTTCAACCTCCTCCCTCCACAGGACAATGAATTTTTGTTTCTTACAAAAGGTCAGATTCCTATCTGACCTGCATCTACCCAGGTGCTCAATAGCTGTGATCAAATTATGCCCCAATCAAGCTGCACTTCCCCCAGCCACTGCCATCACTAAATATGGT